TAAATGATATAAAGATAACAAAAATGGCGATATAAAGATTACAAAAATCATTGTGTTAAATGATGAGTGAAAATGAGATGCAATTCTAAAGATTATTCTCGTTTACTGGTATTTTTTTGTGTGTGTTTTCGCACGTTGTTAAGATTATCAATTATGCAACGTGCCAAAATATAGGGGGGCTCAGCACGCTGGTCACATTCAGCAAATTTTCTCGCAGGCTCATATTGTCAGTGGACTTGCGGTGTAAAATTGAAACTTTTGCATTTTTCAAAGAACTGGCCACTTTCTGTAAGATGTCCGCTGTCAATACGAACCCGCACGAGTGGGAGAAATTTTGCTAAATTTGACCAATGTGCAGCCCCCCAAGTCAACATGAAATTTCAACAAGGGGCTCAGCTCCCCTGAGCCCTCCCTCCAGTACACCACTTGGCCTATCTTCTCAGCAAGGAATTTTTTTTTTGCACTATGCCTTGAAAGTTAGTTTTTTTCATTTTTTTCTGGGAATAAATTTTTTTTTTGGTTTTGCCCCCCCCCATCACTTTTCTAATGGTCCGTCCCTTAATCACCTGGGGCTGGTTTTGTGGAACGTTACAAACGTGGATATAATTTCCCAGAAATCTTGTCTGGATCAATCGGTGCTTGTAACGAGACATGATTTACAGTAGTTGCCACTAACTTGCCGACAAAGGTCATTGGCTCAAAACGTCGAGGTTTTGCTTGTATTTTTCAGGTTGTTGTATCCTCTTGCAGTTATCTTATTATCGTCACTATACTTACACTGCGGACCGTCCGATATAATATCGGGGTAAGGTAAATAATAGCTTTATTAGCATGACTATAAATGTACAGTATTGCTAAAGCGTATAAAAGTTATAACAATATATAGAGAACTATGGTAAACTAGGATTATACAATTTACAAATTAGTATATGACTGTGCAATAATACTTAATAGACTAACATAAGATTAACGTTAATAAGAATAAGAAGAAAGAATGTAGACAAGTATAATATTTACAAATAAGGTGGTTATTACAACCTCTGATAACTAGCACTCCTGGTTTCAAGGTGTGATGATGACGTCAACGTCACATACCGTATATAGACAACAATGCTTTGCGAGGACAGAACGTAGACCGCATGGCGAACAGAGCATGGCGAGCTTGATATTATTGTATTTGAAAAACAACTTATAGTTAATAAAGCTTGGATATTACATTTGGCGACGAGGATTTTAAATATTGTTTACTATGGCTGCAAGAGTAGACCTTCCATCGATGCCACAGTTTGATCCTCATGTAGATTACAGCAGTTTAGCGACACGATGGGAACAGTGGCTTAAACGCTTTCACCTTTATCTTCGAGCGGGAAAAATCACCGATAAAACACAACAACGAGCCCTTCTTCTATACATGGCTGGGCCCCAAGTACAAACAATATTTGAAACGCTAGCTAATACTGGAGATGACGATGACTTCAAAACAGCGGTTGAAAAACTGACAGAATATTTCATGCCGAAGAAAAACCTCGAGTATGAGATTTATATATTTCGCCAAGCCCGACAAACGACTGACGAAACATTGGATCAGTACCACACGCGCCTTCGAAAGCTTGCTACAACATGCGAGTTCACCGATGCTGATCGAGAAATTAAAACACAAATAATACAAAGCTGCGTTTCTACGCGTCTTCGGAGAAAAGCGCTTCGTGCTTCAACGCTTACTCTGAGTGCCTTACTCGCTGAAGGTCGTTCCTTGGAAGTAAGTGAAAAACAAGCTAAAGGCATCGAGAAATCCCTCACAGCCATCAAGATCGACGAAAAACTCCCTACTGAAATCGACGATAGTGTGAATGTCATTCAACATCAACAACGCCAACAACCGCCGTACGCTCGTCGGGAAACAGTGAAACGCAAGTGTTATTATTGCGGGTTAGATTATCCCCACAAGAACAATAGCTGCCCAGCGTATGGCAAAGAATGCTCGTTTTGTCATAAGATGAATCATTTTGCAAAGGTTTGCAAAAGTAGTCAAAATCAAGATCAAAATAAATTTCCTCGACAGCCTCGCTCATCACGCCAATTCAACAACTCGTCAATTAACACTGTTAATAGACAGCACACTGACGATGAAAGCAACTCATGGCATGTAGTAAAACACTGACTACCGGAACACCGGAACACCACCATTTTGTTTGGGGTTAGGGGTTAGGGTTAGGATTGGGGGTTAGGGTTGGGGTTAGGGTTAGGATTAGGGGTTAGGATTGGGGGTTAGGGTTGGGGTTAGGGTTAGGTGGTGTTCCGGTGGTGTTCCGGCGGTGTTCCGGTGTTCCGGTAGTCAGTGTTTTACTACATGCCGCAACTCATCCTCGGAAGATGAATACATCTACACGGTGAACACAAGCTCAGTAGTTGCGTCCAAGGACAATTTGACTGCCAAATTAAAGATCAATCGGACGAATTTTCGAGCACTCATCGACACCGGGGCGTCTATCAACATTATAGAC